TACTTCTCTCTCTCTCTTCTTCGGGCAAATATCTTCTGTTCACTATGTTTGGGGTCAAAATGTCTTGTCTTGAGTATACCTTGGGATCAGCGGTCCAAACTTGCGATCGGCTTGCGAATCCATTGTCGCACGGCGCCGAAAGTGCCAATAGTGGGTCCTTAGACTTGGTTTAGTATGGTGCAGGACTCCCTCTCGACTCCTCGAAAGTATCCAGTCTTTGCATCCACAACGGTTCTTCAAGGTCACGCATCACTTTGATTGCAGACTGACTGCGAACTGACTCGAATCCCTGAGAATCAGGTGACACTCAGGGTCATCTTCTGAAATCCTGGGAACTCTGAGGAATCTTGGGGAACTGTAGGGATTCTTGGGTGTTGGCTCGGGAAACACTTAAGTTCAGTATAGAGAGTCTGGATTTATGGTCCAAACCCAGAGAATCATCTTTGGAACTCTGGGTCACCAGTACTCAGGGAGGTGAACTCTGGGTCATCGTGCGGCACTCTGGGTTTCCGTGCAGCACTCTGGGTAACAAGTCTGCTACATTGCAGGCCTGCGTGCATCTCCACAAAGCCACACTTTTAGCGGGTTTAGCGGCCTCCTGCGCATGATCACGGTGGTAGTGGGTTGATTCTCAGGGTAATTTGATCCTCTGGGGCACTCTGAGCCACTGCAAGATGAGGTGTACTCTGGGATACATTCTCCAGAGACACTTTCCGCCAGACTTTAGGCACTCATCGTAAGGGAAAGTCCGCGGCTGGACTGAGTGTTCTCTGAAATTCTGGGCGTGCACTCCCAGGATTCACACTTCCAGCCAGTTGGGCCCATCTGCGGTCAGACGCTGGATTCATCCCGAGAAATCACTTCTCTCCCACAGTCGCCATCCATGTCACACGGGTACAGCCGCGCCGTATCCAAGTCATCCACCAATCAGCATCCATACAAACTCCAGGTCACAGAGGTGACGGCACATCGTCGGCAATTTTCTGGAGACCGCCTCGGGTCACCAGCCTTCCTGAACGGACGGCTTACGAGTGGAGACGCAAGTTCCAGCGAGACTACAGTTACGCCCGAGCATGTGCCGAGGATCTCCAGAAGAAGGCGAAGCGCGCCCGGTCTAAGGAGCAGACCCGGAAGTGGAACGAACTATCGGAGCGACTCAAGTCTGGATTCGAGAAGGGAGATGCCGTATGGCTCTACATCCCGAAGGTCCAGCCTGGATTTAGCCGAAAACTGGCACACCTGTGGCATCGCCCGTTCTGCATTGGTGAGATTTGAGATGATTTTCGGGTGCGCCTCAAGATCGAGGACGCCGGTTACCCGGTTCCCCATGGGTCCATGTGAGTCGTCTCAAACCGAGGGCAGCCTTCCCGAAACGGCCCACGATTGAGCTGGACCTCGATGATGAGGATGATTTCGACGCTGCGCTATTGCCCCAGGACAGTTGGGAACCCGATCATGCCAATGATGAGTACGAGGTCGAGAAGATCCTGGATTTGAGATGGATCAAGAGGACGCGGATATCTAAGCGCACTCGAGAATACCTGATCAAGTGGAAGGGGTATGCAGACCCTGAATGGATCCCGTTGTCCCAACTCAGCTGCGGGGCGCTACTGTACGAGTTCAACCAAGAGGCGAAGGCTAAGGCACGTTTTCAGGCTATGCAAACCGGAGATGATCACCCCAGGCAATAGCCATCCTGAATGGAGGAAGCTCAACCGACCGTACCCGCCAGTTGCGAGACGACTGAACATGTTTTGGTTACGAATGGAAATTTGGAGAGTATCGAGTGGAGACGACGCACTTTCAGGGTGCGGACGCTGTGATGAACCTAAGTGTAACGGTGAATGCGACGAAAGAGGGGTCGTTGAGATGATGAGAACAAGGAAAACGGAAATGACAACGAGTTTTGGATTAGTGGGTGTTACGCTACGACATGCAGGATTGGGGTTGAGTTTCGAGCTCGACGCAGAGAACAGATCTCGGGCATGCTACGGGAACTTCTTGGAAACCAGGTAGCGGCGGCGGTCCGCCTTTGGCAGGAGTCGGAGGTCCAGCTGGGCCGGCGCGTGAGCGATGCGCTCCTCGTCCGAGGAGCAGGAGTTCCACTGCACCCGAGCGGGCTCCTGCTGGTCTGTCAGCGCGAGTTGCTCCTGCAGAGAGTACGGCTTGCTTTCGGCATTCTTGTGCGAGGGCGCCATCCAGATCCAGGAACAGCACTTGGCCGGGAACGCCCAGACCCCGGGCTCCTCGAGGTACGACTGCTCCAGACCGTCGTCGACCGCGGCGTCCAGCAATTTCTGGTAGTGACCCGGATGCTGTCACATTCGGATTTCCGAGTGTCAGCGAACTCCTCCGAATAGGCGTCCAACTGGTTGTAGATCGAGAATCAGTGACCAATCAGCCAGAATGTGCAGTGGTGGTCGCTCATGAAGGTGACGATCTCATTCAGGCACGCCAGAGCCTTCGTGCCGGCCTTCGGGGGCGCATGGCAGACCCGGAACTTGGATCGGTTATCGAACATCTCGTCCCAGGGTTTGGTACTCCACAGCTCCTTGAACGGCCCCGAACGCCAGCGTGCCCGAACGGCGTCGAGCTCCTCAGGCTTGGACAGATTCGGGGTGTAATCCGGGAATCCACTGGTTTGCTCGACTGCCTTGGTAGTACCGGGTTGGAATTTCACCAGTATCCCGTAATGGCGCCAGGAAGTGACCCCGCGACCCGGGACCTCGATAATTTGGAGCTCTTCTGGGGTCAGCTCGGCATGCTCCTTCCGGACGAGGGTGGACTGCGTGCGCCGTTAGGCTGCGCGCGGACGCTTGGCCGGAGGAGGGGCGACTTCAGGATCAGGATGCAGGGACCCGGTGGTACTTGAAGTAGTGGAAGACGTGCTGTTGCGGCGTTTGGCCTCCCGAGGGGGCGTGGTACGCAAGTCGAGCTTGGCCTTGAATGGCTTGGTCGTCCTGAATGTCTCGTCCTGCGTCTCGTCGTCGATGTCGTCGCATACTTCGGAATACATCGCCTGCATCACCTCCGCCTCCTCGTCTAGGCGGACACTTTTCAGGGCAGGCCACTTGTCCGGTATGTACGTGAGCTGCTCCAGTCTGGTTTCGGCCTTCTTGTAGTACCAGCTCGGGACGTAGCTCGTCCAAGGTGTCTGGTCCAACTTGCGCCAATACATGATCCGGACGAGGAGCTCGAGCAGGTCCCGAACGTGGAACCGAGGATGCACGACATTGTCCCCGCAGACCAGGTCGAACGCGTCCAGGTAGTCGAGCCCAGACTGCATCGCCAACTGCACATCCAGGCGAAGCTTGTCCCAGATCACGGCATGCGCCACCAGCGAAGCCCGTGCGTCTTCCACCGACCGCGCATACGGAGTCAGCGGGTCCATCGCGTCCAGCTCATTCGGGGTGTACACCTCAGGACGGAGCTGGAAGTGCCGCCCAGTTGCGCTTTTCGGCGCTCGAGATGTCTTGACGGAGCGGGACTTGAGTGACGAGGTGGTTGACGGAGCGGACGAGTCTTGGGTGAAGTCGAGGGGCGCGTCCTTGGATCCCTCTCTCGCGCCCGGGCCATCATCGTCCTTCTCTTCCTGATCGTCGTCACCGTCGTCCACAAAGACGTAAGCCCCAGGTTGTGCCCCGAAATCGTCGACCGCGTTCACCAAGATCTGAGTAGCCCAGCCGTCCGGAGGAAGTTTGTTGTCCTTGGCGCATTCCAGGAGCGCTTTCAGGCGAGGCCAATTGCCGTCAACCCGAGTGTTGTGCCGATTCAGGAAGTTCATCGTCCTGCCCACGTTCATGGAACCGGCCTTCAGCCGAGAAGTCATCGTCCGGACAGTGGAACGAAGATCGTCATTTTCCCGGGAGAGCTTGTCGATTTGGAGTTGCAGCGCCTGTTCCTGGCGCTCGTGTTCTTGCGCAGCTCGCTTGAAGTCCCGGTCGTGATCCTTGATCTCCTGCTCGCGCTTCTTGGTGGCGACCTCCAGGGTCTCCTCCCAGCAGCGGTTCAGGACGGCGATATCGCGCTTGGCCTTCTGCAGCTCACTGTCCTTCGCCAGGTAATCCAGGCTGGCGGTTAGCCCATTCGAGCGAAGCTGGCGTCGCCCCGAAGTTGACGTAGCACGGCTTTCACCAGCGATGTTGTTCCAAACACCCTACGCGCGAGGCCATCGAGGTCGTAACACTGCAAGAGTGAGGCGAGTTCGCGCTTGGCCGCAATACTATCCAGGAGTCCGTGGAGCTCAGAGATGGAGCGCCCCGTGTCGGAAGACCGCAGGCGTAGCACAGAGCGGTGGAGCTCCATACCCGGGTCCAGCAAGTCAATCAGCTCCTGGATTTCCTTGTCTGTGAGACTTTCCACGGTCCAGAGCGCCTCGATGCCCCCAAAGCCGTGCGCAGGAAACACTCCTTGTAGCTGTCGCAGACCCGAGCCGAAACACCGACGAAGGTGAGATTGAGGTCCGAGCTGACCGCGAAGCGCGCCGGAGGTGACTGACCCGCCAATTCCGGATTGGAGGATTGCGCCGCACGCGAGCACGAGTCCTGAAGACTCAGCCTGCCTTGAAATTCGTACTTGGCAGCCGATGACGAGAGCGGTTCCATTTACGTCCGGAAATTCACGTGCAGAGGCACTGGAGGTGCGTACCCGAAAGCTCCCTTGCCGCTGTCAGGGAGGCGCTCGGCGCTAGCGCTGCGACTCGCACACGAAGTACCCGCAAAGGCCCCCGTCCTGCCAGCCGCCGTGGCAGTCGAGCCGGCTGCGTCCTTCACCTTGCCCTCGGTGTCGCCGTTGCCCTTGCGGTCGGCTGCATCCGCGTCTTTGTTGGCGTGCGGAGGTGTGTCGGTACCCGCAGTCTTGACCACCAGCGCCTTCGACTTGCTGGCCGCGTCGTCAGGGGTGTTAGCGTCATCTTGATGCTCATCAAACGAAGCCTGGCGCGCGTCCTGCGT